AAAAAAAAAAAAAAAGAATGTTAATCATAATTAATGGTTCCTAATATTTTTGGATACCCAAGTTGATCAAGTAATCAATGGCTTTACATCAAAAGCTTAGATTTACTTAAAAATATTTATAATCATTTGGACAATAACATGTGAATATATGACTCAACATTCTTTTTAAAATAAAAACATGGCACTTTGAGCAAACTCTCATCAACAGCTCCCTAGAAAAGTACAAGTTGAAAGGATATCAGATTAAAAAAATATTCTCTTTGAACAAGAACTCAAAACCACTGCACTTGATTTATTTATAAACTAAGTGATGTGAAAAGTATAATCTCCATGTGTTTTAATACGTTGAAGATTGCTTTATTCACCTTTTTACATGTTAAAAGAAATGTACTGTCGTGCCACAATTTAATGGAATTATACATGGGGTAAAAAACAGGTCTATTCCAGTTCAATGGGAGAAAAACAGTCACTGGTAAACAACGACTTGCTTTGGGTTCTACGCTCATCCCATAAACCAAAAGCATGGGGGCGTTTGATTTTAGGCTTCTATCTGTGTGATAGGTAAGAGTCTGTTACCTGCAACAGTTTCTGAATGTACTGGAGACACAGATTTATCAATGCCATGTTTTTCCGGGTCAAGGCAGAATTTTATCTACCACTTGAAGCATTTCCAGTGGGGGCTAACACATCAACAAAACCTTTTGCTGATATACCTTGTTCTCTGTTTTACTGAGTTTTATTATATTGTATATTGTGATGACATTCAACTTATTAGGATCGTTAAAAAATTTAACTGCTGTTAAACTACACATTGTTTGGCTTCAGCTACTTTCATCTTACTAATTACACTTGTTTTGTTTTGTTTTTTGAAGATTTTATTTTTAAGTCATCCCTACACTCAGCGTGGGGCTCGAACAACCCTGAGATCAAGAGTTGCGTTCTCCACTGACTGAGCCAGCCGGGCACCTCGCTCATTACGTTACTTTTGAAGAACAAAAGTATATTTTAGGATAGCCATCTTTCCTAACTCTAAAGTTATAGATCTTGTTATGACTTGAAAATATGGAACGTGATACTGGACTTAAATGCATGAATTGACGAATTCATACTATATAAAGTCTCCAGATAAATTCTGAACAAGTTAAACAGTTTATAAATTAGTGGATTAAGTGGGAACATTGGGAAAAAAATCTTTTTCTTACCTGATTTTTTAAAAAATTTTTTGGGTCATGGGTGGGTGGCTCAGTCGGTTGAGAGTCCGACTTCGGCTCAGGTCAT